ATATCAATTTTTTATTTAGAAATTCCTAAATTCTTAATTTTCAAAATAAATGATTAATAATATAAACAATTTACAATAATAATATTTTATAGTATTTTTAAGTTGATTAGATACATACTTAATTATTTTTAGTACTTTTATAATTATAATATTTATTCATTTTATTGGATGAACTTATATTGATCTTTTCATGGATCGTATATTTTATTATTTTTTTCTCATTAATGCAGAAGATAATCTACGTTCTTATTGTCTTACAACCATAGACTTTCTTGGTAATCCTAATCTATTAACATTAAATCTATATTGGTTTATAAAATCATAAGGATAGAACATATATTTTAACCACCCATTCCCACTTATCAACTAGAATTAATCTAAACTTTTTGATGTTGATGTTATTATATATCTGACTGGATGAATTAATTTCTTTATTACTGTGTTAATATTTGCTTTTTAATTAAATGTCTAATATTCTTATTATTAATCAAGTTCAATTTTATCTTCCAAATTGAGTTTGAGTTCTAAAATTTTAATCAAATACTCTATTTATTAGATATCTTTATCTGTATATAAATCCTTATGATGCAATTTATCCTTCAAAGATTTAAAAGTTTACAATTCCAATGAAAAGTGTATTCTAATGTCTAAAATTTCTTTTTCAGACTTTTGTTGAGACTTTTGATATAAATCGAGATAAGATCTACTTTCAAGATCTTTTATTAAAATTCCAACTGAATCTATATCTTTTTTATTTATATATTCTAAGTTTAATATTATAGTATACCTTAACTTTCATATTGTGTTGTTTCATCTTCAATAATTTGATATTTCTAAAAGAAAATACTATCATTTTTAACTTTGACCATTTATGCAGCCTCCTTTATAATTTCTTAATCAGTTGATGCATGATATAATTGTTTAATTCTAATTGAATTTCTTTTAAATTTTTATCTATCTTAATTTTAATAGAAATTGAATTATTTAATAACCTTCTCTTTATCAGGTATATAATGTACTTATTTACAAAGATCAGGTGGATGTCTTTTGGATTCACAAACTGCACATTTTAATTCTGAATAATTATTAATTTTGAGATTCCAAAAAGTTTCAAAATCTTATTTATATTTTGATAATATCATATGAAATTTAGATCTAGGTATTACTAATGTACTAACAAATCCTGAACTCTTATATTCATATTTATAATTTTTTTAATTATTTAAGAATTCATTCAATCCAAAAAGTTCATTTGATTTAAAACTACCAATTAATACTTTTTTATCAAAAGATTTATCATAAATATCAACCTATCCAGATTCTATGATATGTATGAAATGATCATCCTCATTAAATATATTAATAGTAGATGATGGTTGATATGCTTGAAATTAAAGGTTTTTTAGTAATTCATTTAAAAATTCAGTTGAAAAATTCTTATAAAAGAAGTCACAATTTTTAAGTACAATACTATTTGATTCAACTGCTATTTATTTTCTAAGATCATCTGATAATTAACTTAAAATTTCTGTTTATTCTTTAGTTTATTGTGTTTATTCTTAATACCAATAATAATTTAAATATTCTCTTACTTAAAATTGTAATTAATGACTTATTTTTTTATTATGCATGTATTAATTAATAAAGATTAATTTTTTATTAATTATATCATTATTATTTTTCATTCTAGTCAAAATCTCACCAATTGTATTTAAACTAAAAGACAGTTAAAATGTACAAACAAATACAAATAAAAAAGCAAACATTTTTTCAGATATATCTAAAAATAGATAAATATATATTTACTTATTGGATGTAAATCACCATATCCAACTGTATACATAGTTACACTAGTATAATACATCGATTCAATATATAAATCTGTCCATGAGATATGATCTAAATTAAAAAATGTAATCCAATTTGAATTTCCTAAAAGTAGATGATATTTTCCAATAATCAACCATATACAACTAAATATATGTTATATTATAAGTAATAAACCTATCAATTTAAATAACTCAATTAATGATGATGCTAATTAACCCATTAAAAAAGATTATTACCATGATCCTATAAAATTTAATAGATTTTTTAATTAAATAAAATATAATAGCATCCATAATTTAGGCCAACCCTCAAATAATATGAATTAATGATTAAAATCGAATTTAAAATAAGCCAAAGCAAAGAGTAAACAAATTTCCATCAATTCAATTAAATTTGTAACATGATATTAATTTTTTACTATTTGATAACGATCTACAACAGGTAGACCTTAATCATAATAGATTGTAATATTTCTTAATAGTAAATCAATTGCAAATACAATCTATGAAATAATAATTATATAATCGTAATCTTCAATCAATTATTCAAATGTAATTATGATAGGTATAATATACATAAGATAAATTCTGAATATATTTAAAAGAAGATCCCAAATGATTTTAATTTTATATGATGGATCTATTAAAGGAATCTATTCAAATAAGTACAAGATTTTTTATTAAAAATTTACTAGACCTTGTCTATATCGATATCGCATTCTTACAAAGAAATTTACTTCCTCTAGACTTGGATATTGCATTACTGTTGATTTAGATTTACCAGCATAAGTGATAAAATCTTTTATATTGCCTGAACTTTTATCATTAATGAGTTAATAATGTTTAGGTTTGAATGTTTGATCTGGTTTAATATATTTCAATAATTTTCGAACGAAAAATCCAATATGATAGTATATGATTAATTTTTGAAATGGTTTGAAAACAGCTTAATTGAAACCAGGAATGTCAGGACTTGGAGCCTCAATTTTCTTAAGTAATATAATTGATGATGAGTCGCATTCATTATTTACAGGAATATTCTTACAGATAGATGTATCTTATTAGCCAACTGTATTAATATTATCTAGATGTACGCTATTAAGACTATGCATTAATTGTATATAATATTTATAAAATTTACATACAAAAGCCTAAATATTATTAATCCATAACTTTTTTTTTTTTTGAATGTAATATTATTGATTTAATTTATATAATTCATTCTTTCTCATGTATTAAACCCTTAACAACCAAGTAATCAAAAACTCCTGTGACACGTTCTTTGTCTAATTTGAAGTTTTGTAGTGCCTAATCTTTCTTAATAATTCCATTTTTAACTGATTCTCTTACAAGTACTTCTTTAAGTATCAAATATTCTTATTCTGTTAATCCTAATTTTTGACATAATTAGTATTCCTCTTCACAAAATGATGGACCAGATTTATGTTTATCACGTCCATCCATTAATGGAATAAATCTAGTTCTTCTTTACATAAACCTTTATTTTTATGAATCATAAACAAATGAATCATTTTACTTTTATCTTCTTTAATATTATTCATCTCTCTTTCTTTTTTCTGCCAAATATTCTTCTACTTCTTCAAAAGTCTTCATCCCTAATTTCCTATAATATCTTAATTCCTCTATTTTTGCTCTAAGTTATTTTTCTTTTATAAGATTCTAAACTAATCTTTCATGATCTTCTGGTTTATTAAATCTTGCAAATGGTTTCATTAAATTATGTAATTCTTTCTCTTCTTTTGATCTAGATTTATCTTAGATATTCTATTTCTTTAAATTAAGTAAGTCTCTTTCAATAACAAACTTCTTTCTTTTTATTCTTTCATCTAATCTTATATTGTAAATATCAAGAACTTTTAACTTCATTTCAATTTCATATGGTTTATCATCATCATTAAATTCCATTTCTGCTAATAATAGTTCTGCATCATTATCAAATTCAATATCAAAATCACCCCTTTTAGGCATAAATCCTACTATTTCTTAACCACTCTATGAAGTCATATTAGGTGTTAAACGACCAGTTTTAGTTATATTCTACTCTTCCTTCAATTTTTTAGGAGCTGTTTATGCTCTTTTTGGTTTAATTAATTCAAGGGTATCTTGATTTCTTTTTGATAATAATGGCATCTAAAAATATATAAATTATATAAAAACAAACATTTCTAAATTTCCCACTTAAAATTATATCATCATAATGTTGTGCAATTTCTTCTTATACTTTTTCTCCACCAAGCATTTCAGCTATATCTTACCAATTACCAAATCCCTTCTTTTCCAATCCTTCTAGCAATAATAATTCTTCTTCAGCTGTCCAATCCTCTACAAATATGGGAAAATTTAATTTATTTATTATAGAGTAAGAATGACTAATTAAGTGAGATTCTGCAATATAAGAAGTATCTATACCAAATTCTTATAGATTTAAAAAGCAATTCATGCAAATATCTATCGCATTTGGACAGTCGTTGCATAGAATTCGTGCTTATTTTGTGATATCTTTTTCACAATTATCACAATGTACTTTGTTATATGGAAAATATAGATTCTAATATATAAATCAAATAAATACATGATAAATAATTTCTTCTCGATTCCCCTCCTACTCCATCTTTTAGTTCTGATTTTTCTTTGTCTTCTTTTTTCCGCTACATATTTAAGCAATATTTACTTTTCTTTGTCACTCAAGAACTTCCTAAAACTTATATACTATTATACATTTTAATATTGTGGCAAATATACTGTTTAATTAAAAATAATCAAAGGATAATTGTAAAATATTTGTTTTTTTAATCAAATTTTGATAAACCATTTAACATAAGTTAAAGATCAAAATCCAAAAAATAACTATCCAAACAATCATAGATGAATAAATATGAAATAATAAACAAGAATAATAAATGTATAATTAAAGGACCAATTAAATCCGTTATTAATGATTATATAAATGGATGAAGATTTAAATAAATATATTATTTTCTTATTAAATTATTATAATAATTTATGAGAACAAGCAAATTAATTAACAATTAAATTCAATTTTTTATTATCTTTATATATAAAGATATAATCCTAAACATAAAATATTTAATTTAACTATATAAAATAAATTTATTGTATTGATATCATATATTTATATTTAAAATTATATCATTAATTTTCTTAGCTATTCAGTTTTTCAAATTTTTATTTTGATGAAACTCCTACAATTCGAATTTAATCAATATTATTTTAAATTACATAATCAAAAGCATCCTCAAATTATATTTCTTGGGATAATTTAGTAATTTTGACAGCTGCAATAGTTCTAGATTTAAGTAATTCCCATAAAAATTTGACTCTTTTATTCATATTTCCTTTATGAATAAGTAATTTTCCTATAAATCCTCTTTTCTCTTTCAATTCTGGTTTTGATTTAAGAAGCTTTTCTCTTATGATATCCAATTAATCCTATATAATGAGTAATAATATAAAATTACTTAGAATTTAATGAGGTACCCTTAAAATATCTAAAGAATACACATGATAATAAACCATAGATTTAGAAATGCTAAGATGATTAGAATAATGACTTAAATATAGTAATAATCTTTAAGTTAGGCTCCGTACATTAAAACACCTAAACAAAGTGTAGCTGCACAAACCATAGTAGAATAGCGATCAATTTCATTTAATTTTTTACTACCATAAGGACTAACTGATACTTGGTACCATCCATAGATAAAAAGAACTAAAACAATAAGTAATCCTTTTATAATAACATATTCTTCATAGTAGACTAATATGATAACAAAGAATTCCTTTTAAAATATCTTAACAAATTCCCAAAGATAACTATCTTTAGAATATTCTCTATAAAAATAACCAAGAGTCATTTTGGTTTACTTTAAATCAAGTTTATTTCTTTTAAGCCAAACTAGAAACATAAATAATCCAGGTAATGCAATGACCCAAATGATAAGCATAGGTCCAATAAAACGAGCCATCCAATAATTATGAAGATCACTATCATATCTATATCCAACATCTGCTTTGACCCATGGTAGACCACTTATAGTTCTTATGGAAGCCTAAGAGATAAAACCTTGTACAAGAGTTGGATGCATGTATAAAAACATATAAATTAAGGCAGTGTAGATAATTGACTAAGAGAATTTAGTGATTCCAATAATACATATAATAAGGTATCCTAAAATGATTGCTCCTAAATAACACAAAGGCATAACTAATGCCCATATCATCTTAAAATATAGTAATTCAATATCAGATATTTTGATTAGTAGACAATCAAGTGAATATGCCATAGATCCAGTTGGATTACCAGCTGTTTGAGTAGCAGTTTATACACCACTTGGTATTTATAATTGAAAAGTCATAACAATTTATACAATTTGAAAATAATTAGTGAGTGTTTAAACCATAGTAGCTAAATTAGAAGAATCTGATTTAAGTCTTCTTCCAAACAATTTAATTATATCCTCTACAATTTAAAGTTGGAGAGCTTCAAAAGTACCTTTGACAGACATAATAGTTGAGATCATAGTTAAAATGGAGATGGCAATAATAATGATCAAATTATATTATTCTGAATCCTTACATAATCCACATTTATAAGGATCAGAAGGAGCCCATCTCTCTTCATTTTAAATCATATATATATCACATGATTCACATAATGCTCCAACATGTCCTGTATAACAAGATGGATTGCCAGGAATCCAACCTCCATTACAATTATTAGGTAGATTTACACAATATTCAACTTCATCATTTTAATAAATTGGTCTCCAATATCCTTATATTAAATTGATACCAGTTGGTGAAACTGTTCTCATTGTTAATCTATTCATTTATTTACATAATACAGAATCTTTCTCAACAGAATATGCAAGATCAGATTTCTGACATGCCTTACATTATTAAGAATCATATGCTTCACCAATTTAACATGGAAATGTACGAATTCTAGCATATAATTCATAATTCTTATTAAATCCAAGAATTTAATAAGGTGGTTTAGTATTATAAATAGGTAATTCAACAGAATTACATGTAAAACGAAGTTCCAAATATAAATCAGGTGATGCTTAAGGATCAAAAATGAGAATCAAATCATCCATATCATATCCTCCTTTCTCTGGATTATAGTAAACTTTTGATGGAATAGTGAAATTGTTAGTAAATGATAAAAAATCATTATAAATTGATTAATTTTGAATTCTCCCATCTATAACACAATTTTCATCTGGTTTACTATTTCTTACAACATCTCCAAATCTATTAAGATTAATAATTCTAAACACCCATTCATATGGAACTTATTCTTGTGTAGCTTCATAAAAATACACATATTTTGAAATTCTTTGACCTGATGGTAAAATTAATAGATTAGTTAATTGTGGATAATTACCAATTTAATGATATTCCAAAGTTATATTGTCTTTAATTACAACAGTAGTATTATCAATAGCTCCATCATCAGTTTCATCTCCATCATTATTTAAATAAGTTTATGATTCAAATGGAATATTAATTAATTACAATGTTTATTATATAGTAAGTTCTTATATATCAGTACCACCATCATCTGCTGAATTTTTATCAAAACTTAAACTCAATTTATCAGTATTACTTAATTAATAATTTAATAAATATATAGCTCCTCCTATTTAAGCTTAATTATTAATAAATTAATTATTTTATAAATACATATTATTAGTACCTAGATTTTCAAAATATATAGATCCTCCAACTAAAGATGCATTATTACTACTAAATAAACTATCTTGAACTATTGCAGTTACACCTCTTAAATTCAAACAAGTTCCAGCTCTAGCCAAATTATTATTACATTAATAACTAGAAATAAATATTGTATGATTTAATGATGAAAAATCAGATCCTTATAGAAGTCTTGAATTTTGAATGCTTTCATCAATAATTTCAGATAATAATGTAACATCTTTAATGACATCTTCAAATACAAGTGATGCACAACCATAATATCCAATTGTATTATATTAACAGAAAAATTCAGAAATAGATACCAATTCTTTTGTATTTGTGTCAGATATACTTCTTATCTAAAGTAAACCTCCTCTACATTATAAGCATTTATTTTAGACTATTTAAATTTTCTTAATTTGAACCAAATGATTATCATTAACCTCTGATATATAAAAAAGAGATGAAAAATTATCTAAGTTTAATTGTTTACTTAAATACAAAATGTTGTTCATTAAACAATTCACTAATTGTTAATTTAGAGTAATTACTATATCTATTATATTAGATAGTGAATCCAATTTGACTCTTGAAATATATATAGGAAGATATTTAGAATTTGAAGTTTATTGATTATACATCATTTCTAAATTTTCATCATAATATTCATAGATCTCATCATCAATATCCATTTCATCTAATTACTCTTAAAATAATAATATTTAATCACAATTTTACTCTGGGATTAAATATGTAAATGATTAAGGAATTAAAGAAGAACAATTATATTAAGTACTAAATGTATAATCAGTTTCCTAGAATTCAATAATGTCCAAATTACCTATATATGCTTATCCTCCTGATTATAATAAACTTAGAGAAAGTAATGGATTATAAAATAGAAATCCTTTCAAAATAGATAATTTATTGATATACAATAATTCTAATTGATTTAAAGATAAAGCAGATGTATAATTGATTTATTAAAATAATGAATCTCCTATTATTAATCTTCCATTTGTTTAAGTATAAACACTACTAGTTTGTAAAAAATATAAGTATTCAAACACTTAAATTTATGGAATTACACTAATTAATTTATCAATACTATTATCAATTACACTGACATCATCTAATGTTACTTATTAGAATGCTGCATCTGCAAAGAAATCAACTCTCATAAATGATGTATCTAATGCTTAACATTTTTCAAAATAAGATTTTTGTATTGTAATATTTTAATTTTTATTAGAAGCAAATACATAAATACAACCACCTGTTTATCTAACTCTACTATTTATTATACTTAAATTTGAAATTAAACAATTTAAATTTGATAAAGTAGAATCAATATAGAAACTACCTCCAATAGAAGAATGTTTCAATTCTAAACTACTAAAGATATTTTATAATTATGAATTCTAGATTTAAATAGATGATGTTCCAATTGTTGTTAATTTTATACCTGCTTATATTCCATATGTATAATATACATTAACTTAAGAAATGGTAGCTAAAGTAGTAGTTAAATCCATTATTGTTCCATATGATTTAATTTCAAAGAATGATTTTATATCATCATCTGTACTAATTTAATTAGGTTCAAGTCTTTTAACCCATAATTTATCTATAATATTAGTGTATTTAAATGTTGCATTATTCATGATTAATTTTTAACAATCAATTTTAATTAAACCATAATCACTTTTAATAGCTCTATTGTATTCTGATAAAAAGTTTATTAATTAAATTGTTGATCTTGGTGATGATATTTGAAATAGTGAAACAATTACTATAGTTTATTTTGATATAATTTATTAAAGATGATTACTTTAAAAGTTTAAATTATCCATTATAATCATTTAAATTTAATTTGAATCTATATTTATACAACCAGAAAATAATCCTTTTTTAGTAGATACTAAAGAATTATTTAATATTTAAAATCCTGATAATGTTATACTTTCAATATTGTTACCATTTGTAGTATTTTAATATGCTACATCATATGATTATATGTAAAATATTGATGCATCTATTAATAATTGTCTTTATATTAAAACATCAGAAATAGTAATTGAATTTGAAAATTAATAAATAAAGAATAAAATATAAGAAAATGATGATGCTGCAATTTTACGATCTGAACAATCTGTTGTTGTAGGAATTAAATTATTTTTTGGTCTTATTTATTATAATTAAAAATTAGATTAACTCCAATCATATTTTAATGTAGTAAGTGTTAAAGATTTTATTGTTGAAATGTAAAATATTGTTAATCCTTATATATTATCAAATTAAAAATTCGATAATTTTAAATCTGAAAACTTATTCCAACTTATTAATGCTGATGTTGTCAGAAAAGTATTTCTTTGACTAATATCATATATACCAATATTAGATATTTATAAATTGCTTATTGTCATCATAGTAATTATAGAATATGTATTTATTGGAGTACTCATAATCATTAAACAATTTATTGAATAACAATTAGAATTGATAATCTTTATTTTATCAAATTTATATTCCAATAATGAACTTTATAATTAATTATTAGTTTTAAGTTCTTTAACAGTTGAAAATATTATTGAATTATTTAGGAGTATATTATTATCAAAATAAAATTAAGAAAATTAAAATGAATTCATTAAAAATATTTTACTATTAATAAATCTATTATATAAGATATCTACATTTGAAAATGATTATGATGTTTATAAATTAGCCAATTGAAATAGAGTACTATTAGAAAAGTAATTAAACATCAAAGTTAATTTATCAATCTAATAATATAAACTATTTGATTGAAAGTTAGATTTTATAATTGATGAACTTATAAAATTACCTTATGTAATCTTTAAATTACTAATTTTAACAAATAATGATGGAGCAAGATTAGAATAAGTGATTATACTTGAAAAATTGTAATTGCAATTAATTAATTCAACATTATTTAATTTAATATCTTGATAGCTAAGAGTAGGTAAACTATAATTAAAATAGACAACTTAATCTTTGGTTTCAATATTTGTTATTTTAACATTTGACATTGTAAAATTGACAGGATTTTCAACAATAATAAGAAGTTTTTAATTTTTGTATTTTTCTTTCATAAATTCAATATTATTAAGAATAAATTAAGATTCATCTTAACTTTTTAAATAAAATCCAAATTCTTTTGGAGCATTTTTATCCTCTTTATAATATTCTATTTAAACATTATTTATATTAACTTAAGATACACCTATAAATGACATTAATCCAGCAACATACCACTTTTATTATTCTCCTAGATTTTGATTTATATTTAATATAACTTTTTATAATGAATATACATTTTAACGAAAAGAAAACTAAAATTAGGATTCTTTTTTGAATTCACAATAATCACCAATTAATTTCAAATTTATAGTTAATTCTTTAATTGTATTATCATTGTAACTTTGATATGCTATAAAAGAATCAATATCTTAAAAGGTAATTATAGAAATCTTAGTTTTAGCAGTATTATATTTTTTTAAATCTGTATTACAATCAAATTCTATATTTACTTCATCTTTATTAAAACATTTATATTATTTGTTTGTTGGACAATCAGGATTCACACATTTAACAGGTAGACCAATTTTATTATCAATAAATACACAATCCATTTCAGCTTATTTATTTAATTTATAACACATTCTACTATATTTCTAGAGTATATCACTAACTGGATTAAAATATCTATTAACAATTGGATCTGTATCTATTCTATCTCTACAAGCTGCACAATAATTTGGACATTCTTAACATTCACTCATATCAGAAAGTATAGATTATTAATCAGGTGTACCACAATAATAACAGAATGCTTTTTCATCATCTTCATAACAATTTTTACAATTGCTTGTACATCCCATACATTAATTACCATATAAGGAGAATCCTTCTTAACATTGAGTACATTTAGCATCTTATTATGATTCAAGTGAAAATAAGAAAAAATCATCTTATGTGATTATTTAATATGTTTATAAATAAGATGTAAAATTATAACTTGGTGTATATTACCAACATTTTTTACAATTAATTGGACATGAAAAACATTTACCTGAAAATATATCAGGATAATAACCATATCCACATTAAGTACAAAAAGAAATAGTTGAATCTTCTTTTTCAGGTCTTTTTTAAATAAAACATCTTTCACAATTCTTAATAACTTTAGAACATAATTTGCTTGTTAAACATTAAGGATTAATTGGTTATTATAAATCTAAAACTTTATCTTCACAAAATGTGCATTTATCATCTAAATCATTTGAACCATTAGGAGCCTTATTAAAAGAACTACAAGAAGTAGCAGATGGATCAGGAATAGGTAAACATTTAGTTTTATCATCTTTTCTATAAAATCCTGTTTTGCATATATGACATAAAATTTGTGATTTTGGAGATGATGTTGGTATGAAATCATATTCTAAAGTAGTATGACCAATATCATCTAATTAATAATAACATAATTGACAATTATCTATTTAACAATCTTCACAAGTTTATCCATCATAAGAAATGAATTATGAAGATGAAACACATTGTCTGCATCTTAATAAATAATTTATTGAATAATCAAAGTACTGATCTCTTGTTCCATATTCTAAATAACCATAATCTTTATAATAATCATATGATATATATTCGCATCTTGCACATTGATAATAACAAGACTCACAATATTGAAAACCAATACTTTCAACTAAATATTCTGTATTCGATTTTGAACATTATAGACATAACAACATAGAATCAGAATATTCACATTTTATACAACCAGGTTAACACATTTAACATAATGATGCACTATTTAAATAATATCCATCATTGCAAACCTAACATGTAGAAGAATTACAAGTTTTACAATTAGGTTAACATTCTCTACATTCAAACTCAATATAATAATAATGATCCAAACATAAGATTCCATTAAATTAATTATCTTATTAGTTATTATCATAACATGATAAACCTTCATCATTATTTTCATCAATATTCTCATCATTATTTTCATCATTATTTTCATCATTATTCTCATCAATATTTTCATCATTATTCTCATCATCTTAATTTTAATTTTTATCAAATATACAAAAGACACTACATCCTTCACAAATTTAAAGTTCATATTTGAATTATACAGGTCTTTTTGAATTTACAATAGATGTTGGTTTCTCTTATATATAAAATATAGTCTTCTAAATATTCTCTCTCAAATACACATCACCTGGAGATCCAGTTTAAATTCTGTAATTATATGTACAAGCTCTAGAATATTACCAATTATAAGGATCTTCTAAACAATCTCCACATAAAATATTCAACTCGTCTTAAAACAAAAAATAAGGACTAATTTTATAACTCTTTATACCATGGTAAACAATTTTTTTAATTCAAAGCATCTACATATAGAAAGTATCCAAATTCACAAGGAATATATTGAGTAGGTAAACAATCCGCAATTCCCATAGGACATATATTGCCTTATGCGTCATACCCAAATAATGTTGGATTTCTATATATTAAAGGATAATCTATACACTGTTGCAAAGGTCACTACCGTTAAGTAAAATACAATAAACATATTAATGAATTTAAAAGTAAATTTTCAATTATTATGTTCCTTATCTTATATTACAATTTATATCTATTTTTATTATCATCATAATATTATATCATTAGAATATTATAATAATTCATTAATATCAATATTATAACTAATTGATATATTTCATATAATCACATAATCACTAATAAGTCTTTATGATTACTTTTAGTTCCTAAAGCCATTCCCAAAGCATAACCATCAGCTGAAATATCAATAGATTTTATTAATCCATCATTTTATTAAAGTCCAACATCCAAATTTGTATAAATATCAGTATCACCTAAAACATCAAAAACCTTCAATGTTGAATTTTCACTTGCTGCAAATATGTATCTTCCACTTAATGAAATTGCAATTGAATAAATTGAATCATAATAACAACTATCCTGAAATGATACTATAGGATCTTTCATTCTTAAATCCCACAAATTTATTGAAGCATCATCACTCCCAGTAACAAATGTAGTTGGTTAAGGCATTTGAATAAACTTCACTGTATTGACAGCTGATTCATGACCTATCTTTAATTATACTTGTTACCTTTGTATTCAGCCTATACAGGTTTTTTAACTCTAATATCCCAAATTTTACATGTTAAATCACTTGAACCTGAAATAAAAATATTGCTATCATTTTCATAAGCATGTAGAGATAATACATCTCCAGTATGTTGTTGATGAATTGCTAAGTATCTCTAAGGATTCTCCAAATCCCACAATGATACCAATGAGTCTGTTGATCCTGCCTATATAAATTATTATTCTATACAATTATGTATTATGGGCTAAGAAATTAAACACATTGAATTGAACCTGAATGCCCAAATAATTCAATGTTAGGCTTATCTTTACTGAAACTCTTGCCTTTTTTATTACTTTGATTTATTCTTTTTATTATTTTAGAATATTTACTCATAAACTAAGACTTTCCCATCTAACGTTCCACAAGCTACCTTTTTCCCTTCTTACTTTTCAACATCTACTGTTGTTAGCCACATATTGGAAGCATGAAATTATTGAATCAATCTATTTTATGCAACATCCCAAATTTTTAAGACTCCAGAAATATCTATGCTTGCTAATTGAGTTTTATATTTCTGGTTGTTAAAACAAATATCTGTAATCTTTGCATTCTCAACAGTCTTGTTATTTACTACTTCCGCTAACATTTTACGTTAAGTAATTTGAATTCCTAATTTAGGCTCATTCACATTCAGAGGATTAGGGTTTTTTATCATATTACAAATTATTTTATTATTTTTTTATTATAATAATCTTAATACTTTTATTCTCTATAAAGAATATCATAATAACTATTATGTAGACTAGACTGATAATAAGTATTCAATTCAAATTATAAGTAATTTATAATTTGAATTTCTCCATTCCAAAAAATAATTTATCTCATATTACTATTATAAGAATTATTGATTTATTATGAAACTAAGAGCAATCAATCCCTGCATGACAGATTAACAATATAAAATTATTATAAGAAATTTTGATAATCATAATATCATTTAATTAAGTGAGCTTTTTTAAAAAATGAAAATAAATATACATAATATTAATAAATCATTAGATAATGATTAGAATATTAATAATTTTATTAAATCTAAAAAACTAACATTTTATTCGAAATATATTCAGACTTTTTTTACTTATTGTTAGTTTTAAATAGATATTGATGCTTAATTAATAGTTGCTTTAAGAATTTAAATACTGTTTATTTAAATCAACTATGTATATTTAGAATAATTAAATAAAAACTTGTTGGCTTTTAATGAAAATGATTGATCATTTGAATAGATTCATTTTTGCTGCGTTTAAATTGATGAATATAGTTATAAACAAATAAGTTTATCAAGATTCTTAATTAGATTTATTTATTTAAGATAAAATAATTCCTAATTTCTATAAATTGAGTTCAGAACAATTTGTTACGATTATTTAATTATTTTTTTTAATTGTCAAATATATCATATAGCAATTAAATAAAAAAATAAATTGATTAGAATTTGAAAAACTAAACTTACCTTTAATTAAAAATTTCCAAATTTTCCTTTGAATTATAAAAGGACTTTTATTTTTCGATAATTTATGGATATATACAATATCTTAGAATTAAGTTTATATTTATGTAATTATATTTAATGTATTTATAAGAATTAAATTAAAAGTAATAGTTATTAGAAATATAAATTATAGAAAATGGTAAAAAATAAAAACTATTTGATACAAAAATTTATTCCAAATTAAAAATTAACTTTGTTATTCAAAAATTTAATGCAGTTTCTTGATAAATCTTAGATTGAGTATAATGTATATTATTATCTTGACATTCAATATGTTGATTTCTATATTTAAATGAGAAATCACATAATATTGGTAGATAATTTATTATATGTAACTTATGATATGGTACATAATTGTCTTTCTTAAGAAACATTACACTGGTTTTCATTATTTTAATAAATCCATTCATGAATGCTAAAAAATATAAATTAAAGGAAATTCGAATTAATTTAAATGAATGGAATCAGATGAATGATGATCAAAGAGGAAAGGTTTTGTTAATGTGAAATATTTAAGTTTAAAATATTAAATTTCTTTTTTTTCAATAATGATAATTAATGAGCAATGAGAATAGAATATAGAGAATATTATAAAGTCATTTATGTGAGGATCTTTCATTTTAAAAATTCTTTGATAGTTTTTTTCTTTCCTTCATTAATTTATGTTACCTTATCCTATTGATGAAAAAAGCAGATCAAAATGTCATCAGCAAATCTCACTTTATTTTTTATAATAGTTTTCTCAGAAAATTCTCTTGTATCTCTTGTATAATCTCCTTCATCAATATCTCCAAATGATTTCTAAATAAAAACTATATGAAGTGAGTTCAGTCCAATTCCAGGTTTGCTCATGATTTAATTGCTTTATATATAATTTATATTATTGCTATATTTGAATTGACCAACCAAAACAAATTAATAATACTAAATAAATTAAATTAGATATAGAACTTGATAATAATAATACAAGTGCAAAATATAATTACATTATTCATTTGCTTCTAAAAATATTCAAATTTTATGAAAAAATATATAAATCAACTAAAAATTAATTGGAATTCAATTTTGTTGAGGTTTTTTTCAAAGACTGAAAGTCTATTTGATCAAAATTATTAATAAAAAAGATAATCAGAATCCAAAGTAATACTGTTTAATATTCTTATGACAAAGTATTTAGGAATGCAGAAATAAATTATGTTAAATAAATTAATCAAAAGAAATATATAATATTTACATAAATAAACTTAATTAGTTTTTTAATCTTAATTAATGATATATTTAAAGTGTATAAAGATTATTTGTATATTAATGTTAGAATATTCTTTTTAAAATAAATATATTGATTAATTTTCAACTGATTTAAATTGACTTGATATGGCTTTTACAATTGAATCCCTAGTAGAGTTTATTTGATGAAATAATTAAAATTAGAGTATATAATTTTTATTCATAAATATATTAAATTGTAGAATTCTGTGTATATATTAATAATTATTTTATTTTTTCTAGAAATTTCTAATAGAAATGGCAGAATACATAAGTTTGAATGAGGATGGAGGAATCTAAAAGTTAATTCTTGAAGAAGGATAAGGAGATTAACCTTAATAAGGTAATGTATGCGAGGTACTAAAAATTTATAAATCTAAGATGTTCTATACTGGAAAATTGGAAGATGGAACAGTATTTGATTCAAATGAAGGAAGGGATCCTTTTAGTTTCACTTTAGGTGAAGGTGAGGTCATTAAAGGATGGGATGTTGGTGTTGCATCAATGAAGAAGGGAGAAAAGGCGCAATTAAAAATTAAATCTGATTATGGATATGGATAATAAGGTAGTCCTCCTAAAATACCAGGTGGAGCTACTCTTATTTTCGATGTATAATTAGTAGATTTCAAAGAAAAAAAAAAATAGAAATGGTATAAATAATTAATATATTATTAGGGAAATGAGTGATGAAGAAAAAACAAATGAAGCTAAACAATTTAAAGAATTAGGAACAAATGCTTTTAAGGCAAAGAACTATCCTGAAGCCATTAAATAGTATCTTGAGGCTGTCAGTTATTTTGAAGCTGAAACAGAATTTGCTCATGAACAAAAATTGGCTTCTCATTTAAACCTTAGTCTTTGTTATTATTATACAAAAGAGTATAAAGAATCTTTAGATCATGCAACAAAGGTTATTTAAGATAAACCAAATAATGCTTAATTAGTTAAGGCATATTATAGAAGAGCAGTAGCACATAGTTCATTAGGTGATTACACTGAAGCAAAGACTGACTTAAAGGCTGCTTATGCTATAGATCCAAATAATTAAGCAGTTATTGAGGAAATGCATGAGGTACAAAACAAGATAAATATATCCAAAAAAAAAGAGAAGGATATTTATGGAAAATTATTTTAATAATCATACTATGAAGAAGAGGCAACTCCTGTGTCTTTAGTAGAAAATGATCCTAGTAATATAACTACATACTTTGATATTAAAATTGGAGATGATGAACCATAAAGAATTGAATTTAGTTTATTTAAGAAATCTTGTCCTAAAACAGTAGAGAATTTTAGAGCACTTTGTACAGGTGAAAAAGGTATTGGTAAAGCAGGAAAGCCTTTACATTATAAGGGTTGTGAATTTCATAGATTAATAAAGGATTTTATGATTTAAGGAGGAGATTTTACTTAAGGAAGTATAAAATTTATATAATGTTTAAGATGGTACTGGTGGTGAAAGTATTTATGGTGAGAAATTTGCAGATGAGAACTTTAGTCATAAACATACAGGAAGAGGATATTTGAGTATGGCTAATGCTGGTCCAAATACAAATGGAAGTCAATTTTTCATTCTTTTTAAAGATACACCTTGGCTTGATGGTAAATAAATAATTAAAAATTTATAGGCAAACATGTTGTATTTGGTAAGGTAACTAAGGGTATTGAATTACTTGATGTAATTGAGAAAATAGAAACAGAATAAGATAAACCAAAAGTTAGTATTGTTATAGTTGATTGTGGAGAAATTAAATAATGATAATTTAATTATTATTATAAATTGTTATAAACAATATGTCTAATAACATGAGTCTCCAATTAAATCTTATAATAGGATATTTAATTATGATAAAGATCATGAACTTATAGTTTCAACTTATTAAAATGCCATTATTCTAAACAAATTATTATTTAATTTTTATTAATTGAAATGAATTTTCACTCTAATTGGAGATATGAAAAAATGCAACTAATTAAAGATGTTCTTGTAAATAAAAATGTTGTGCCTATTTATATACAAAATAGATTAATGAAAGAATTGGATTTTTAGATAAAAGCTTTTGCAAATAAAAATAAAAATTCATTATCCCCTAAAAAAGGTTGTAATCGTCGGATTAAAACACTTGATCAAAGTCCCTAAAGGATTAAATTTGAAAGAAGTGTGAGTAGAAGTTATAATAAGGATTAGGATTGTTTAAGATGTCGAAAATTCAATTTTCAGAATAAAATAATAATTCAGTGTGATACTGGTCAGCATATGTTTCATGAAAAATGCCTTTTGGATCTATTTAAAGAATAACTTTAAGATATTCAACCACATTTTTCATGTTCTTGTGGGATGAAATTATGTCCAGAATTTGTAAAAGAACTAAATATAAGGGGTATAGAACAATTAGTTAATTAATTGTATGAATAGTAACTAAAATGTATTACTTATTAAGTACAGATATAGAATTGTTTAAATCCATAATGTAATTTTTTTTGGATTACCAATTCTTAAAAATCAAGAAAATATGGACGATAACTTAAACCTCTCACAAAAAAGTATTGTCCTTATTGTTGATTAATGCTATTTGTAATTTTTTTTTATTTAAAATTTTATAAATAATAATAGTATACAAAAATTGATCACAAATATACACATCTCATCTTCCTTAATTTTTTATATAAGGATTTGCACCATTTTATAAGAGAAGATCAGCAATTTCATAATTATTATGAAGCATAGCATAATGAAGAGGTGTATTTCCATTTTTCTATTTAAATATCAAATTTATTTTACATCTATTTAATTTAAATTAACATTGAAATTTAACATATGTCTAATAATACCTTCATGACCATTTGCAGCTGCAAGAGATATTAAAGGAATTCCATCCTAAGTAATCCCATTCAAATTGAAGTTTCTATGAACATCCATAAACTCTTAGAATTAATTTAATAATCCATGTTCAATCATAATTATAGCAATCTTTTTTTTAGATCTATTTCTTTTCATCATTTTATCATATAATAACATTGTTTCCAATTTAATCTTTTAAGGATTTGCACCTTTCTTATAATTAGATAATACCATACATTTTATAAATTTATTTATTAAATATTTGAATTAACTGAATCTGACATAGAATCATTATATACAAAATCTGATTTAATAGATGATACCATTTTAAAATCCTTAAAATTTTTATTAGAATCTTCTTTTTTTAAGATTTTTGATTAAGTTAAATTAGACTCAAACATAAGTTTTGGTAGCTATTATTATGATTTAGACATAGTTATTTTTTTAATTTCACCTACTGAATCCTAAGAAGTATCAATTTAATTTTTTATTTGATTATCTACTTATTAAAATTTATTATCTCGATTACCTGGAGATGTAGGTGATAAGGCATTCCTACCATGAATGGATTTTCTAATACTTTTACTTATTGTTTATTCATTTGAAGATTATTATAAAATATTTATTTGTGGAAGTTAAGGTGATTCTACTCCAATATCTGAACTCTATTTATTAGAAAATATTTATATTGTAGCTCTATGTGAAGAATTTGTATCAATTGGTTAAGATTATTTTTACAAAACACCACTAAACCAATTTTTTTTTTATCTTAAAGAATTAAGCATCTTTTTTTTATCTATACCATCTTCCTTTTGAAGATTTCCTTTTTCAATTACATATAGATCTGGAGCTTCATATTCTAAATCATCAATAGGATTTAAATTGCAAAAATTACCATTTAGGATATCTTTATAATTTTTATTGTAATGTTAAGTGTAAACTTTATAAAATATAGGATTTGAAAATTCTTCCTGAAAAGTTGGTACAATCTAATTTATATTATCCTTATATATTTATTAATCTATATTTGTATAATCAACTGATAATAATATATTTTTAGAATTTTTATCTAATTCTGAAATAATAGATGTGAGTTAAAATTAATAATTATTTAAACTTGTATTTTATTCTGGCTAAATAGGTATTAAATTTGATAAAGAATGAGTTTTAGCTTATTTAAATAATTCTGAATCTTCATCTTCATCAAGTTATAATTATTCTTTATTATTTTTATCATTTAATTCAGAAGTATTATGATCTACTGAAATACTTAATTAAGAATTTTCATTTAAAAAGTCTATCCTAACTAATATCAAATATAATATATACATTCCATAAGTTTAAATTTCATTTTGAAATCTAAACAATGATTCCGTTTTATAAAGTTATATATGTGTAT